CAAATTAATCTAAATTAAACATCCCTAACCTATACAAGCATCAATACAGTCTTAGCAATAAAACTACAAAATATTAAAAATAAATTTCTATTGTCTATTATTCAATGGATTGTAAAGCAGAATCTAGATATAAATACACCAAAAATGAATAACTTTGTCACCTCATTAGTGGCTCCTCCTATGTATTTTATACCTGCAACAAATTCTGGAAAAGTGAATCAGAACTCACTTTTCCAGAATTTTTTGCAGGTATAAAATACTTAGGAGGAACCACTAATGAGCTCAGGAAATACGTTTGTATTCAAACCTCCATGTTCTTCAATGTGAGTGGAACACAGAAGCATTATCGTAAAAGTGTTTTCATCTCTTCTGCTAGAATTTGCCTCTGCCATCTGTTCTGCATTACCCCTGGATTAGAGATGTAAAATCCTGCGTAACTGGTTAACTGGATAAACACGAAGTTTACTTTACATTTTACCGTTAACCAATTAAGAAGGGCCACTCTAGCCCAGTTCATCACAGCTGGGCTGGAGTGTCTCACTGCCAAAGGCAGGGACTATTCTATGCAAGTTGGAGAAGCCCCTGCCTGAGATGCGCCTAGCCCACTGCAAACAGGGGCTGCTCCGGACATCTAGAGCTCATGGCGGGTAGGGAGCTGCTCCAATCCTCTTATCAATTAACCATAACTGGTAATGGGTGATGCTTACTAGTTAACCTTTTACATACCTATACTGGATTCATATAATTGGTGTTTAGACTTGGGGTAGAATGCACAGGGCTCATGGCTTACAAAACAGAGCATTAACTGTGCTGGAATGGATTCTTTATGTTCCATGTGTTCCTGATCTTCAGCCTACATTGGAAGGTTCATCACACATGGGCTGCATCATTTATACAGATGGCAGACAAGGAACCTTCCATAGGTAGCTTCATAGGTAGCTTCCCACATTCTCTCCAAAGTCCCCATCTTATCTTCTGATTTTCAAGGGATGCTCTGGGGCTGTTTGGGAGAATCAGAGAGGGCAGTCTGCTATTGAACAGCTTCCCTGATAGTGCTGCAGTGTTTAATGTCAGATACAGATGTCTGTCTGCAATCTTTCGTGGCTCTGATATACAGCTGGTCAGCTCCAGGGTCACAAATATACTATCATTAGAAGTGTCAAGTTCTGTCAGTGTAGTATCATTCATATCTTCATATATACTACTGCCCTAATTCCAGATCCTCTTTGGCATAGCAAAGAAAGAAATACAACTTCCATTGCAATCACCTTTCTGCAGTTACTCATTTTCACCAGAACAAATTCCTTTGTGACTGAGAATTTTTCATGAGTTCACCATTTTACAGATACGGCCCAGTTTCTGCTGAAATCACTCAGGGGTTTCTGAAATCTACACATGTGAAACACGCTTTCTAGTCCACATATTCCAGCTAGAAGAAATCACCAGCTGAACAGATATTATTGAAACTTTTTTGTAGTCATCATTGACAGCCAAGGAACAAGCCAAATTTGGAGAAATTGGGGTCAGCACTTTTGAAATTATGACTGCTAAAAGGGCTTGTTTTTGTAAGACTCAGGGGTTTCTGAAATCTACACATGTGAAACACGCTTTCTAGTCCACATATTCCAGCTAGAAGAAATCACCAGCTGAACAGATATTATTGAAACTTTTTTGTAGTCATCATTGACAGCCAAGGAACAAGCCAAATTTGGAGAAATTGGGGTCAGCACTTTTGAAATTATGACTGCTAAAAGGGCTTGTTTTTGTAAGTGCATTATACAGCTGGATTTTCAGTTAGCTTTCTTCTTTTCTTTATCTGAAGCACTCTCAAAACTCACAAATGTGATGGGGTGCTCTGCTCTCAGCTAAACTTCTAGTGACCTTATAAATCCTACAAAACCTTGCGAACTTATGAGGAAGTGTGGAATAATGTGAAAATAAAGGAAACGGTGGTGCCTCCTGTTTAGAAACAGAGGACTGAATACAGGAAACTATATACACAGAGCACCACAACATAGCTGTAAAACATCTGGTGATGGTAATCAGCATGTTACACAATAAACAGACTTAGGGAGAAGGAAAATGCAGACAAGGACACTATTCTCATACAAATAGCACTGATTAGATTTTTCATCCAGAGATCTCAAAGCACTTTGTTTTTAAATAGTGATAGAAATGTAGCCATGTTAGTCTGGTGTAGCTGAAACAAAATACAGGACTATGTAGCACTTTAAAGACTAACAAGATGGTTTATTAGATGATGACCAAGTGGGTCTGGCCCATGAAAGCTCATCATCTAATAAACCATCTTGTTAGTCTTTAAAGTGCTACATAGTCCTGTATTTTGTTTGTTTTTAAAGTGAGTGTTACAATTTCAAGGTCAGAGAACTAAGACACAGAAATTAATAGGTTATTTTTTAAAGGTTCTGAACACGCACTAGCACAGCTGCTCAGGTCAGGTCTCACCTAAAGTGATATGGCATGTCAGTTGCAGAACTCTCAAAAGAAACCAGGGCTATGTCTACATGGGGATGGTTTGGTGACAAAAGTGCTGCTGACATGCAAAATTGGTCAAAAGTGAAAACCAGCCAAACTGGTTTTTCTGCCTTCCCTCCTTGACATTTCATGGCCACATTCCTAGCTCCCCTGTCAACATGGGAGTATCCCACAGTGCAATGTTAATAGATCACAGAATACAAGGGCTGGAAGAAACCTCAGAAGGCCATCGAGTCCAAGCCCCTGCCCAGAGCAGGACCAATCCCAACTAAATCATCTCAGACAGGGACTAAAAAATCTCTAGGGATGGAGATTCCACCAGCTCTCTAGGGAACCCATTGCAGCACTTGACTACCCTCCTAGGGAAATAGTTTTTCCTAATATCCACCCTAGACCTCCCCCACTCAGGAGCAGCCTGAGGCTGGCTGCAGCAGCTGGCACTTCAGGCGGAAGGCGCGATTGACGTCCCCCGCCTGCATGGCCATCAATGGCTGTGACGTAATCATCAGGTGCCCGGGCGCCCTGTGACGTCATCATCGGGTGCCCCGGGCGGCAGCACCCTAGGCATCCGCCTAGTCTGCCTACGCTCACAGGCCGCCCCTGCCCCCACTGCAACTTGAGACCATTCCTCCTCATTCTGCCATGTGTCACTACTGAGAACAGCTTCTCTCCATCCTATCCCACCTTCAGGTAGTTGAAGGCTGCTACCAAATGGCAGAGCTGATCCCTGTGCTTCTTGGGATTCTCTCCGAGCTCTCCCACAGCATCTCTCAGATGCTGGGAGTAGCATCCTGAATATCTCTGAGAGCTCTCTGTGCTGAGGAATGTCAAAGCAGCACAGCAGTCTCTCCAGCCTTCCTCCTGTAGCAAGCTCCAGCTTTCTCCCTGTTGATATGTTTCTAGCAGGGCAAAATGGGATCATTCCAGTTGATTTGCTCTTTTTGTTTGTTTCCAAATGGAGCAGCTCACTCAGCTATCAGATACTTCCTGGAGCTTTGAAAAGGGAGAGGTAGCAGACATCACAAAACATTGAGCACAGCCATCAGGCCAAGAATTGTGGGATACTGACAGAACACAGTTCTCTCCACAAAACAACCGAGTTAACATTGGCTCTTTGGCCACAATAAAGGAAGGTGAAAAAACAAAACTCTCACAGAGGTGGAAGTTTTTTGTCTTCACCCACACCCCCAAAGACAACAGGCAACAAAACAGGCCCAGATCTCCTGACTCCAAAGTTAGCGGCATAGCTACTGAACCATGCTGTTTCCCCTGGAGATCTCCCATGAAATGCTTATCTCTCAACGTCTATCCTCTACACTGTCTTTTTTCTGCAACATCAAGCAAAGTGTGGATAAGACCAACTAGCTTGTTCAAACTGAGAATGTTCTGAGCGAGTTCTAAGAGTAAATGCGACATGCAGTTGAGGTGTCCTTGAGGGGTGATTATTTTAAAACAAATACTTGCATAAAGAACTACATACATATTTCTGACCCACATCACCGCTTTGGTCACCCATCCACAAAGAGGCAATGGAATGGTACATTTCCAGATACTTCAAAGTTCAGAGAGCTGAGCTTCCTGATTAACTGAACCTTCTAAAATGCTTTATTCTCTAAAATGTAACAGCATTCTAGCTCACCTGAAGCCTTTACGTGAGTGGATGTCTTTATAAAATAAGATTTAATTTTTCTAGAAGTTATGTGCTTAATGCAAGAATTGCAGAGTGAAATAATATAGTTTGTGTTATTCAGGACATCTGATTAGATCATTGGATTGGACCCTTTGGGCCTTAAAAATCATGAATTCTCCCAAAAATCCCTGTCTTTATTATAAAATCTGCTGCAAGGATTAAATCATCTTGGCCCCAAAATTCCCGTTATCCGCTATCACTTTAAAACACATGCACATGTCCGTGTAGCAAGCACAGCAACCCAAACAATCCTGAATTGCTCTGACTGTGTCACCTCACACAAATCAGGTGATAATTAAACAAACTTGACCACGGTGAATTATCTGCCCACTACCAGGGCTCACACCTCAGACTTAGAAAACAAAATCAAAGC